GAGAGAGAGAGAGAGAGAGAGAGAGAGAGAGAGAGAGAGAGAGAGAGGGAGAGAGAATGAGTGAGTGTGGGAAGGTTCCACATAAGTGGTGGGCAGATAGAGCAGGGAACGGAAGGGAGGGCGTGCTGAGGCAGCCTGGACAGCCGGTCTGCTCAGAGAGGCAGTAGTGGTGACCACGGGTCACGTTTTTCTCACATCATTCACTAATGACTACAGGCACAGTAGCCACTGGATGTGAGAGTCACTGGACAGAAGGCTGCCACCACCAGCAGCATCCCATGACATCTGCCTTCATCCTACCATCTTCCTCCTCATGACCTCCAAGGACTCCCCAGAGTGCAGTAGATAAATGCTAAATTCCTCAGCTTGGCACCCCAGGTGTCGGATCCTAACAGGAGTGTGACCCTGTGTTCTGATTCTAATCTGTATAATGGGATAATAATGATTCATTCAGATCATAGTGGAAATGAACTGAAATAAGTGAGCAAAGTCTAACCCACTTCTGAGGAATGTGATGCCGTTTCTCCATTCTTCCCATCTCCTACCCACTTCCCACCCTATCCTCCCTCAGTTTTCCTGGGCACAGTCTGCAGCCCAGGCTTGGTGCCCTAATCACCATCTCTCAAGGACACATCTTCTCCACAGCACAGACCTACAGTGTGCACCCTGTCCTAAACATTGTCCCCTTACTCCCTCCACCTCTCACCTGGTTATCTGCTTTTTCTTTTTCTGAGTGTTCTTGTGGAGTCGGCAGACACCCCTGGGCCACCATCTATGAGCCTACAAGGAGGGAGGTCCATATCTTGGGCTTAATCTGCCTGCTCTTCACCGACCCTTTGAAAACTGACAGTCTGCTGTCAAGAACGCACATCTACCTAAAGACTGTGTGTGTCCCCACTTGAAACTCACACACCTTTGGGAAATGCCTATCTAACCTGCTAAACATGAATCACTCTGCAGGTTACAGGGCTGCTCAAAGGAGATGCCACTGGAAGGCTGTCTCCTACCTCGGGGACGGCCGTGTCCACAGCACCTGTCACAGTGCACACATGTCCAGGTGGCCAGCTCCCACCTACCTTCCTGATGCCTTCTGAAGGACTGGACACACAGTGGTCAGCCCCTCCGTTCTTGCTAATGGTCCGCCAGAGCTCGGCAAATGTGCTGTCCTGCTCCAGGGGGTTGGTGCCCTTGGCTCGGAAGTACTCATACACGGCAGAATCCCGGACGGTGCCGTAAGACATCTCGGTTTGTTTGGACAGGTCCTGGAATGTCCTGAAATGCAAAGAGGCAGTGAAGCATGGGTACAGGCTGCCGGCCGCAGGGATATAAACATCTGCAAGGCCATCCTGAGGTCGGAGCCGGGCTGCGGCCTGTGTCCACATTTTTCACTCTCAACCCTCTGCAGCACCAGTCCCTCAGCCTGGAGTGTGACTTGTCAGCTTCCTTCTCCCACACTTACGTTTCCTTGATGTAGATTAAGTTAATAAAGTTACTGAACACCTAAAACCAGGTGCTATGCTGAGCTTGAGGGACAGAAGGATGAGTAAGACCAGATTCCTGCTCTCAAGAAGCTTACAGTCTAGCTGTAGAGACATACAGACAGACCACAGGTACCAGGAGCGGCTGGATGCTGAGGGTCTCCACTCTAATGCCTATCAGAAGGAAAGAAAATATGTTGGCAAGATGGACGGCAGTGACTGGTCTCTGAGCCTGAGAGCTGGTGTGGGGCAGACACACACTCAGGGATTGTGCCCATTCAGTAAGAGGCAAATCCCTCCAAATCTTGCAGCTATTCTGGAGTTCCTCCTAGTTGCCATCTTTTGAGTGTATTCACCCCAGTTTGTTTTTCAATAAAGAAATAAATGTGGGTTTTTATATGAGATCACTTGATTTTTAAGTGCTGACAATTATCAAAAGATGGTGAAGATAAAACAAAACACTTCTGAGGGTTTGTACATGGAGGGGAGGCAGGCAACTCAGACCAGGTGTGTGGTGAAGGGAGGGGTTGCATCAGGAAGGCCCAGAAGCAGCCAGAGAACAGCCATCTGAGCCAGGGGCAGAGGCGGAGAGCCCTCTTTGGGGTAGGGGGTATAGTCAGGCCAGGAAGGACCAGTTGGCACAAAGTTCTCACTTGCTCCAGGATGAGTTGTACCTGGCTCCGTGTGTTGACACACAGAACAGAATTGCAAAAGTAAAAAATGCTCAGTGGTGAGCTAGGCTCTTTCTCCAGGCTTCAGTCTGATTACTCTTTATTTATTTCTCTCCTGGAAAGCTGTCTCTCCTTTATATCAACCAACATATCATCCCCACCTCTCACTGGGTCACTGTTCCAAGGAGATCCAATCTTCTCAGCCTGACCTACACAACCCTCCATCTTCTGGTCTCATCGCGGGCTGTTGCCCCATAGACAATGTTGAAATGAGTAATCCCACACAGTCCCCATCTACGGCATCAGGCCACGGTGCTCCCTCTGTCTGGCATCCCTTTATCTCACTCATCCACCTGACACACTCCTGCAAACCCCTTGAAGATCAAGCTGCCACCTCTCCTGGTGGGAAGGCATGGCTGTTTCTCAGCTCCCATGTCATCTGTACACTTTGCATGGCTTCTATGGCAGCATAGTCTTGCTGATTTCAAAGAGCAGCACAGCAGCCTGAAGGCAAGCAGGGACTCAATAACCTGCCCGGCCTCCCAGCTCCGTCATCAACCCTGAGAGCCTTGGAAAGTTAGCTAAACTCTCTGGGCCTCAGTTTGCAAGTCTTTTAAAAATAAGGTCAGAAGCAGAGCCTGTAGCATATGGCTATAGTGGAGATTAAATGAGGTTATGTGTATTCAGTACTTAGAGCAACGCCTGATGCAAACTCAGTGCCCAGAACTAGCAGCAATTATCCTGCACTCTATCATATGTCTGTGTCCTCCAATAGCATCTAAGAACTTGGAGGGTGGGAGTTGAAGCAGCTCTGTCTCTGCACTCGTGACACTGACCCCAGGTTGACACCAGCCTTCACAGCCTGTGCACAGAGGAGTCAGCAATGGATGTTTCCCTCTGCTCTGGAGACCCAGAGCAATCTTCCAGGGCCTGCTACACGGCCCACAAACAGAGATTGGTATTCGTTTCAATACATTACAGATGAAAGGAAACATAACATAACAAATTCAATGAAGGAATCTTTCTAATTATTGTTCATTATTTATATCTAATTGAAGCAAGATGTTCCCTTGCTTGAAGGGCCCCAAGGGCTGCAACTCCATCGCAATTTGCCTGTAATGAAAGGAGGAGGGGGTCTTTTATCCCACATATTTTTTATTTTTCTCATGGTGATACAAACAAACACAAGGCTTTGATGAATGGAAAGCATCAGGAAGAATTACACAGTTGAGTCTAAATACTGAACTGCTCTAAATTACTGCAGTTTCCATGTATGGAATGAATGTGAAACTTCCAAGGAGCTTGGTTCTACTGTTTCACCCCCACATTTGAAATGGAGATTTCCTTCCTCCTCTTGGTATTTATTTACAACTATGCCCCCAACCAGAGGCTCAGGGAGCATCCCTAGATGACAGGCCGGCCAAATATTCATGGCTTTACAGCCATTTCTGTTCCAGTAGAGCTCTGGTTCCCACCCCAAAACACCACCTCCATCTTTTCTCTGCCAGCCTCATGGCTCAGCCCCATGGCCTCCATCCATCACCTCTCATAACCTTGAGTCCTTGCAGAGGGATCGCTCCCATTTCAAATGCACTCTTCATCTTTCAAGGAAAGTTGCCAAGCTCACCAACATGCCCAGCACACAGTAGGTACTATGACAATATTTCAGTGAATATACCTATAAAAGACTATTTAGAGGTTTGAGCAGGAGGACCCAACTGTTCATACACCAAAGCTGTCATCCCCTGGGGCACTCATCCTATTGTCAGAGTCTACAGTTTTGAAAGGGACACAGGGGAGCAATAAAGGAGTACAGGGGCAGCTGACCATCCAGGCTTCAAGCCAGCACTAGCCGTCAGCAGAAGAGAGATACTCACATCAAATAGGATGTCCCTCCAAACAAGCGAGGAATGCCTAGCCTGGAGAAGGCTAAACTAGCAGCATACTTAATTTAACTTTTTTCCTCAAATTTGTCTTTTCAGCAACAACTGCTAGAAGTGTACCCCTACCCCCACCCCCACCATCACAGAAAGATGAAGAGCTGCCCATCACAGGTGAGGTCTCTATAAACCTAAGGTCCATGATGCAGCTGGCTGAAGTCATTCAATCAGTTGTTCCACCAACAGTTACTGAATACCTACTAGGTAAGGCGCAGTGGCACACAGAGCATCCACAAGCGGTCCATAGCGAGGGGTGGGTGAATGGTCAGAGAAATAACTAAACAATGTGAGAGAGACTAAATTAGAGTTCTGTGTGGGGGATCATGGAAACACAGAGGAGGAGCAGCCAGCTTCTTCTGGAATAAAGAAATACTTCCTAGAAGAGGAAACATTAAGCTGAGTTATGAAGGATGGCTGGAGGTAACCAGAGGGGGAACAAAGGGGTAGAGTGTTCTAGGAAAAGAAGATATGATCTGAGAAGGCACTGATATGTGAAAAAATATGGTTCATTTGGGACACACACCATGGGGCAATTCGCATCATCTAAGACACTGAGGTTTTGGAATCAGGTAGACGTGGGTGTGGACCCTGCCTCTGAAATCCTTAGCTATTTGAGGTAGACCAGCAGTTCTCACTGTGTGGTCCTCAGGACCATGGCATCACCACCTGGGACCTTCTGAGAAATGCAAATCCCCAGGACCCACCTCAGATCTACTGAATCAGAAACTTTGGGGTGGCACTCAGCAATCTCTGTTTTCACAGCTCTCCAGGGGATTCTGATGGCAGCACAAGTTCCAGAACCACTGAGGCCTGAGTTTCTTAATTCATTCTTTCTCACAGGACTGGCAAAGATTAAAGATCACAGACATATACCTGGCACACAGTCAATGATTAATAAATGCTAACTCTTCTGTTAGGCTGTCAATAAGCCGTTCAGATGGTTGAAGCAGGGAGACCATGTGAAGAAGTGATGGGTGATGGCACCAGTGCGGTCTCACCTGGATGGAAGCAATTGTGGGCAGGCAGCACACATTTCCAGTGCTTGCAGGCTCACGTTTTCTCGGCTTCTGCCCATCTGTCCTCCCAGTAAGATACCTATGGTAGATCTTATCTCTATGTTGTTGCCAAGGTACATGCAAATGCTTTACTGTCGGTGCTCAATCTGCCACCTTGTGAACACTACACATTTTAGGTACTCAGGATACCTAATGTGACGACCTGAGGAAGTCTGAACCCAGGATGTGCCTGGAGACACCAAAGCTTCCCTGGTGGGCACTCTGGGCCCTCGCTTTTGTGAACCATGATGGTACCTGCCTAGCAGAGGGCTCCCTGAGGAAATCATGAGTGCCTGGGTGAAGAAAGCTGCTAGGGAAGGATGTCTTTCAAAGCATTGTCCCCAATAGAAAAAGACAGTCCGAGGAATACAATCAATAATGTTGTAAGTATTTCTTAGGGGGCCAGATGGACCCATGTCCTTTTGGGGAGTCCACTTCATAGTTGATGTAGAGGCCTGACCACCGCATTGTATTTCTGAAACTGGTGTTGAATAATACTGTATGTCAACTATAATTATATATACATATAACCTCGGGACATGGAGTAGAGTGCGGGAACGGATTCAATGGAATTGTAATAGATAAGCATGATATCGAGGGTGGGAGGGCAATAGATGGGGGAGGGGGGTTGTTACTTTGTGAGGGTGAAAAGGGTAACTATTGCATTGTTCTGTACACCTGAAACTAACAATAAAAAATTAAAAAAAAAGCATTGTCCCCAGGCTTCCCACCTGCATCTCAAGTCACTAATTAGGTGTCAAGGTACATGCATGTGCACTTTGTAGCTTACCCCTTATCTCTGTGACTTGCAGTCTATCGCCTTACTTCACCTTTTAGTCACGTTTATTGTTGGCATCCTCCCATGGCAAAGCTTAGCCTCTTCTCCAAGCTTCATTATGAACCAATTTCACTCAAAGGTACACTAACTAAAACTGGGTTTGGGACTCATGGGAGCTGCTTCTATGTATCTGCCGACTGGATTGCTGATGTTTAGGGTCTCCCTTAACTGAAAGTGTAGCTGGCTCCTATGAGCACATCAGACTGCCTTCCTATGTGAGCATCCCCCGCCTCTGACAGCAGTTTCCTCAAATTAAATATGCACCTTCTGCAAGTCCCACAAGGTCCT